CTGTTCAATTTTCCTGTTCTCTGAAGTATCAAGATTAGCCGCTTACCATTCAAAGAACTTCCTCATTCACTGTTTCACTGGATTCCTTGGAGAGGCATTGTGCGTTCACTCAACAGATAGATCCACAACCGAAGAAAGGTGTTCCCATCATTCGAGGGTGTGACACTATGGAACTGGAGGGATGACAGCTCCATGTTCACCTTGCCTCTGTCCACTATTCGATACGCGCCACGCACGTCACAGCCACGCCGTACGTCCAGCTACACGTACACGTGTGTGAGACGGTTCACACAGCTGGCATATGCGTCTATGGTTATGAGTGTGGCAATGTGGAATGTGTATGGAGTATCGAACAGGGGGCGCAAATGGAGTAAACAGCAAATAATCACAGGCCTCTAGCTTTAAAGTCACCTATTTTTGAATGCTATACGTCCACGACTGCGGATCTGCTCACCTCGCACACAGAAGGGATTCAACTCCCTTTCGGCATGTTTCAAGACTTCCAAGGCAGCGTTCATACTTCGTGACAGCAGCGGCGATCATGGCGATTGTCGGTATGCAACTGAACACGCCCCAGGAAAAACCACACCAACCCGAACCATTACTTGGAACGCTCGCTTCAATAAATAAGGAAATCCAGCGTGTAAGACTTTTTTTCTTAGCAGTTCCCACTGAAACCTTACCACATTTCCGTATTCAAGAGGATCTGGAATATGGGGAAGAAAGTTTCACCTTTTTTTCCAGTTCGGAATAAGGGCAACTTCATTTCCCAGATGAGCTTCTTTTTGTTTCTTTTGTTTTCATTGTTTCGATTGATATGTGTGAGCGTCTTAAAAATCTCCGACTGGCTAAACTTTTCCAGCTTCTAAAACACCTATAGTTTACGATTCGAGAACAAACAACGAAAAAAAAAGAAACAGAAAGAAACCCACCGAGGACAAACGCTAATTCATTAATGCAGCACCAATGAGAGAATACGTCATAAATTCATGGAAAAGCTCGAAGAAAAAAGGAACAATGAGAAACTCACTGAATGAAGCTCACGCTTTTTGCTCAATCTCATCTTAAATCAGAAAAGAAAACAGAAAAGAAGTGCCAACAACTTCGGTCCATCTCTCCTTGAGTCAAAATAAGCCTCAAGTACCTAAAACAATTGCAAGTAAGAGGAAGAAGAGCACTAAATTGAGCCGGTTTCGTGGTCCAAGTAATAGCGATGGGGCGCGCCCGGTCGCATACGGGCGATTGCTACGATCTCCGCGGTCGTCGGTGCCATCGAAAAATGTGAACGCTACCTGTTCACTGATATCATTCAGAAGCTTGCACAGCTGAATGTCAGTAAAACAAACAGGACTAGGGCCGCTTTATATCGTTTGGAAGCTGCTACATTTAGCTATGTAGTTCTGAAATCCGGCCAACATAGTTACACACAGAAAAAAACTGGAGAAACTGGAAAGAAACCTGGGTGGTCGAAATCAGCGCTGGATTACTGGATGGGCAGGGAAAGTGCTGCTCAAATTAGTTCTGTGCGACCAATAATTGCGTAAAACGATGTTCTCGAAACTAAGTCAGGAAGACTTGGTGCAGAAAGTCATAGAAATAAGAACGAAAAATGTTTCGGCCGTGGATAGCCCTATAGTATTCACCATGCATAAGACAGTTGGACGAAATTCGGTGCCGAATGCCTGATCACAGAGACTGAATCGTTGTCGAGCTTGTCCGCGATACTGACATTATTGCTGCAGTTGGAGAGAAGAACCGTCACTGCCGATGAATATTGCTCGTTCCTCGCCGACCACAGACAAATGGATGGTACCACAAGCTGCAAAAAGCTGGAGCCCAATCGGCCTAGGGGAGGGAGGCGAGGGGAGGGGGGGCTGGCTTCTAGCCGTGTGGTACCACCCATTTGTCGATATGGTCGTGAGGAACAAGCAATACACTGGACAGTGACTGGCCTATTATTGGAAGTTTTCCGACAGGGACAATACTGGTTCAGTCGCCTTCCTCATGCGACCCAGCAGTGCGACTTCAGCTGTTCTGGTCAGTTGAAGCTATGTCCTACGATGATCTGTCGATCGCTGAGCATCAACAGTATTTTCTTCACACTTGTTGAAAAAGAGAAGGTGCTAGAAGTCCAAATGCTCCCATTAGCTTGGAGGCGGGTCATCGATGGGAGAGGAAACCATTCAACTTAAAACCAAAATATTTCCTTTATCTGGTTGTATATTAAGTCAGTAATTTGTGTGC